AGAGGGAGAGAGAGAGAGGGAGAAAGTGAAAGAGGAGGGGCGGGAGAGAGGAAGAGAGAGGATGCGATGATTGCAGTTCGGGTTTCTGTCCGGGAAATAGCTTCCGATTTCGGAAATTGCCGGGTGGGATATTGGTTCTCTCTCCTCGTCGATAATATTTACGATACCTTCCGTTTTCCGTGTGTGAATCTTACTTGGATCGATTAGTTCGTAACTCTCGATATATAGCATTGCAATGTATGATGCAACGATGATTCCGCCGAGAATTTCGTCTCGTAAGATATACAGTTTGATGATAATAATATAATTTTAGGTCAAACGTGATTTACGATTTTTCTGTGTCATTTTTCGTTTTATATACATGTTTTTTGTACATATTTCTTATAATTTATTATTTTATACATTTTCTTTCTTATATATAATACATATATTTTATTGCACATATATTTTATTACATAATTATTTATTTTATAAAACTGTACACACTATTTTTTACTGTCAAAAATTAATTATAATTTAACAATTAACCTGTAATCATATGTTAAATCATATGTTTATTTTACTCTTAAGCATATCCACTTATATTTCCACATGTAAATTGATAAATTCAATGTTATTATAGATTTAAGGTAATATCATAGGATCTAAATATATAATAAACGTTTATATAATTAATAATGTAATTAACTATGATATAAATTTATAGAATTTTATAAAATAAATCTTATAGGAAATATAATAAATTAAAATAAAGTGAATATTATAAAAAAATATCAGAAAACTATGCAAATAGGTTATATTGCTTATAGTTTATTCATATAATTTATGCAATATTAAAATACTTTTTAATCTGTAAAATATAATAAATAGTTTTATTTCATTTTATAAAACTTTTATCAAGACACGTTCCTCAAATAATGAATTGTTTGTAGTATTTTTTAAAATAGCTTTCTAAAATAACAGTAATAGTCAATTTCATTTTTTCTCAATGAAAATAGTTCAATAAAATTTTTATTCTTATTCGTGAACAAAAAAGGCTGGCACAGACTAACTTGATGGGTTTAATTGAATTTTCAAACTGTCCGAGTCGACAGATAAAACTACGCTAATGAAAACGCTCGATGAAACGGGCCAGAGCCATATGCAAATCTGTTGATTACTCTCCCGTGTATTCGTTCTGTGTATTCAAACTCCTTTCAAAGAAGGAACAATCCAAAGACTCGTACCTTTTTCTCTTCTTGTCTCTGTCACTTCCTTTCACTCTGTTTTTATATATTTATCTCTCTTTTAACCTACCTTTTACTATTTTTATTTATTTATTAAAATGTGCACAGTAATTTTCCTAAATAATTAAAAACAGATTTTCACAAAGCTATTTGAAGTATCTCAAAAAATATAAATTAATGAAAAGTAAAAACTAAATTTAAGCACTAATATCTAGCATTCTAATAAAAATAAAAAATTACAATATAATTAAATTAATTAACAAAGTAATAGAAATGAGAAAAGAACATAATAGTAATATCTGTTTCGTCTTCAATTTAATCGCAATTCAATAAAAATTTCTGCAAATATACGCAACTGCGTAAAAAAATTCGTACCTACCAACGTTATTGTGCAAATTTTCACCGATATTTCTCAATTGTATAATATAATGATCAACCGACATTTCACTTTAATATTTTAGAACAAAAAAAGCACCTGATAACCTTCATATTGATCAGTGGAATAAGAACACTGCTTAGCAAAGTAATTTTTAAATAAATAATAATAATAAATGTTCTAATTTTGTTTAAAAAGTTCTATATTGTTTTAAAATGTTGAATAATCCAAAAAAAGAATATTTTTTAACGTTAAATGGTATTAATTATATAAATATAATTATTACCAATTAGAATTATCTCTTAAGAATCATAATTATAAAGAAATGTATGTCTAAGCGTAATTTCTAAATTTAAATAAATATTAAGATAAATTAATCACATAATAGCTTTGATTATTTAATAAATAATAAAGTCAGAAAATGAAGATATCAAGTCATCCAGGACATTGAGAGAATTCAGAAAAAACTAATTTAAGGAGGTTTCAGAAAGTTGTACGGCACGCGTGAATTTGAAATGTTGATGCCTCCATTATCGCGTATAATTATTTTAGAATATGGTTTTGACGGTAGGAAAAGTTTGCTGCTGATAGCAGTGGAAATACTTAACCATCTGCACATGTGTTAATGTTGGCAGCGAACAACTTGACTTCGGCATTATTTTCAGGCTGTGCATGTGAACGTCCTGTATTCATGGAATGCAATCTCGTTAAAGCACAAGTACACATGCATCTGACTCGAAATGGCGACCGACTTTCATTAACCACAGAATACTAACCGCAGAATATTATTAATTTTTGTTTTGTTTTAGATATTTTTAATTCTTATTTCAAATATAATTTTTGATATAGAAAAAAATGAGTGCCAAATCGTCGCACATATTAAAATTGTTATTATAACAAATATATTATTAATTTATTATTATTAATTTATCTTTTCATTTTATGAAACAAATTTTAATTAATGTTAACGAAAGTTTGATTAATTTTGATAAAATTTTAGATATGTATAGTAATTTAAAAGACATAATTTAATATAACTTTAGATAAAAGATTTGAAACGATTAAAATTATTAATGTTTAAAATATTTTAATAATTCTAATAGTTTTATTATTTCTAATGTTTTGTAATGGAAGAGATCTTTAAAGACAAAATCAATTATTCTTTAACGAGAAAGTTGAGGAAAAAGGAAATCTAATTTAAACTTTAATTCATAAATTTATAAGTTTATCGATTATGTGGAGGAGGTTTCGAATCCATTCATGCTGATTGTTATGACATTCAGATAGACAACGTGAATAGCTGAAACAGTGATTTTATTAATGGACCACGAAATCCTATTTTCCTATGCGAATTATGCTCACTACCGATTTCGATTGCCAATCATAGATAATTGCAAATCGCTCTCATCATCATGAATCGCGTTAAATGTTTCGCGTCAGTCTATAAAACTTGCTCGTTGATCAAAACAGTCAGATATGTTCTCAAAAATTTTAGAGAAAAAGAAACAATTATATCTAGATACAATATTCCTAATTAGCTACCTTACATTTTTATAAAAGACAAAATAATGCAAAATTTTTTTAAGAATTCTACAATTATCTTCAAAAGACATTAATAATTATTATAAACATTAATCTGAAAATGATAATACATTCTGCACAATATATATATTATTTCTATTTATTGTGGATTTAAATTAAAGCGTTCTATAAATATTGTAATTTATTATTATATAATAATATATTACCTCTCTCAATAATAATTACATTCTGTTACTATCAAACCGCACTATCGATCGAATGTGAAACTAAATTGATGGAAAATGGATCGCGGAGGATTATTATTAGGGAGGTCCTATATAAAGTGATAGAACGTTTTGCTGCGTAATCGCGCTAAATGCGCTATGGATACTGCAGTAGAAACCGCGGATTCTGCTCGCCATTCTATACGTAGGAGAAAAGGGGACATTCACGTTCGCATAATGGCTTAAGGAGATAAGAGGATTTCACGCGAGCGGGCATTTACCATCTCTGCTGGAATATACGACGACACCAGCAGACGCATGATGCGAAAATACGCATTCCAAGTCTCGATTGCTGCAGCAAACTTACGACGCGAGTCTAACTATCGCATGCTAATTCTTATCACTTCGTCACGGCACGAGTCGGGTTTAAAATTTTGTGCTGAAAAGACGTTCATCTTGAATTTAAATTTGAATTCCTGGCTACGTGTAGATCATACGTAACTTTTCCTCCATATACGTACGATCTGAAAGACTATTTAGATGAAAATCCAGTATTCTTTATGTATCTTTTTTATCCTATATCTTAAATGTTCAACAAAATGGTCTTTCTAATTTTTTCTTTGAAAGTATCAAGAAGTAAAAGATGATACGTTTAATACAATATAAATGTGCTCATACTTATCGATAAGTCAATAAAGTCTTGTTCTATTTCGGCTTTTGCTAATCTTCTTTTTTACGAATGTGATTACACACACTCACACACACACACACACACACACACACACACACACACACACACACACACACACACACACACACACACACACACACACACATATATACACATACATACACAGATGAACGGAGTTCCACTCACCGTTAACGGCGTGGAGCTCCGTGGGCACCGCGAAATGTGCCGTGTGAAGGGCTAGCTCACCGGTATCAGCAGCGGCCTGCAGCAACATCTGCTGATGATGATGATGCCGGGTGGACGAGCGGTGATGGTGTACGCTATTAAGGACGATGTTGCTAGACGTCCGGCTGAGTGCCTTTCGTTGCCGAATCGCCTCTTTGTAGATTTTGCAGTACATGATAATCATCACCAGGCCTGGGATCCAAAAGGACACGCAGGAACTGATGAGTGCGTATGGTAGATTCACTCGAAACTCACAGCTCTGAAACATGAAAAAAATATCACAAATTGTTTGAATTATTTAATATAATTTAATGACGTAACGTCATACAAAATAATCAAACGGCTAATGAATTAAGATAACAAAAACTATGAATATCTAAGTAAATTATAATTTTCTTGCATATTTTATTCAAAGTTTGTAGGATTTTTTTAAAATATTCCATTCTTCAAAGTAATTTATATTGTTAAAAAGCTAATGAAAGCTTCCATATTCATGACTCGCACATCAAACATTTTTTTAAAATAAACTTAAAGACGAGAGGACTTTCACGTACCTCTGGGTGCTTCACCATGTAGTCTAGGTGTTCCTTTGTCGTGTACCATCCCATAAAGATTGGAATAAAGCTTATCAGCGCCGGCAGGATCCAGGCACTACCCAGCATACATCCCACAGTACTCTGCCTCATTATCACCGTATACTCAAGTGGACTCACTATGGCATAGTACCTGTCCACACTGATACAACAGAGATGAAGGATGCTGGCGGTGCTGAAGTACACATCTAGCGAATTCCACAGGTCACACATAACCGCCCCAAAGAGCCATTTTCCCCCTGAGAGCTCTACCGAGGCGTTGAAGGTCATGGCGCATATCGCCACCAGGAGATCGGCCGCTGCCAGGCTGACGACGTAACAGTTGGTGACTACTCGCAATCTGCGATGCCTCCGCACGCTGGCTATCACTAGCATGTTACCCAGAATCGCCGTGGTAATGATGGTGCCCATAATGATACCCTTAATTACCATCAACAGCACGTTCACATTTTCAGGAAGATTTTCCACCGTCGGGTTTTCCGCTGATGACGTCACATTTGCGGCCGTTGTTGTGGTCGCCGTTGTGCTGGAGACGGTAATGGTATTGTTGATGAGGGCCGACGAAGACGTGGATTCTACTCGGGGTAGACTCGTCGACATCGCCGCCATTACCTTCAGCATGATGATGGTGAATGCGTGGATGTTGATTCACCGTTTGCGTTGCGAAGAACGACTTTTCTTGGGTGACTCCTCGCTCATTTTGGACTTCATGATAGTCGAGAGCCCTTCAATAGTGAAGAGAGTGTCGTTGGATGGATTATTTTTTTTTTCATCTTTGTAAAAGTTAGTTATTCCCCCTTAGAAATTATCCACGAGGAAATATATTCATATTTTGATTTGATTATATAATGTTATGGTGATTTATATATAGCTATTATTAGAGATGTTGCAAAAGAATTCTTCCATTCGTCGAATTTCAAATCATTTCATTGTAGAAGTTATTCATGTTTTTCTTCTTGCGTTATTGAAAGTTGAAAAAATATTTTATTATTCTTCGAAAATTCCGAAGAGAATTTCTTGCTTTATAACGCATGATTGCGATTTTCATATTTTATCGCTGATTTAAAATCCCATTTACTTACACAATAGCGAATGCATAATTATGATGCCATAATCTTTCGTTGGCGAAAATAATGCAATGCGTCACTCCTGTTAAAAATGACTCAAATATATATATATATATATATATATATATATATATATTACTTTTACTTATGTATTTTTTACTTTAATTTCTTTCTTTTTGATTTATCCTTTATTTTTATCTTTATTTTTTTTATTTTTAAACATATTCTTCAAATATTTTTTTTTATACACACATTAAATACATTTCTTTATATATAGAATCATTCACACACATATAGAATTATTGTGGACATTTTATTAAGGTAAGACTCATTCTCTTTAATTTCGGAATCAAGTCTCTTGAGCATTCGTGCAAACATTTCACCGTTTTTCGCACAATTTAGTTTAAATCGCACTGAACTGTCCCACGGTAATTTCGCACGAATCACTGTTAATTTTCGTACATCCATGATTACGTTTATCGACCCGCTCGCGAATTTTATCAATTCAGGAATAATCAGTTGCAGTCCATGATAATGGGAATTAAAACTTTATTTTGATTGCCACGCATGATAATTTAATAAATCTCACCGTTCGATATAACACCATTTTTAATATTCCGGAGCTTCCGCATAACATTAAGTACACTGTTAAACGGCAAACAGAAACACACCAAATGGGGTTTGTTCAATCTATCTCTTGATGGACCGAGATAAATTCAGCTTGATCAAAATGAATTAATTTTAATCAACTTGCTTCGGCCGGCAAAAAAGATCAAAGGATTCTCATTAACGTACAATTAAATCACTCGGATATTTTTAAAAGAACGAAATTTAGGATATTAATTTATTTAATTTACTTTAACAACTTTTATGTATTAATGTATGTGCATTTTATTAATAATTTATGCGATACTGCAATCTAAATTTTGTGAAAATTTCACGTGTAATATCACCAATGGCGATGATTAAAGATTAATCGTCTAGTCTTTCATTTTAAACTCGAACGCGCGACTAACGCAAAATTAAATCACATGATCATATTTTTTAGAAGAACAAAATTTAAGATATTAATTAATTAATTTAATTTACTTTAACAACTCTTATGCATTAATGTACGCTGTATTTTATTAATAAAATTATTAATAATTTATGCGATATTGCGATATCTAAATTTCGTGAAAATTTCACGTGTGGTATCATCAAAGGCGGTGATCAAAGATTAACCACTCAATTTTTTTATTTCAAACTTGAATGTGAGCGATTAACGCACAATTAAATCACTTGAATATTTTTAGAAGAATAAAATTTAGGATATTAATTTATTTAATTTACTTTAACGATGCATTTTATTAATAATTCATGGAATAAAATTTCGTAAAAATTTCACATGTAAACATCGCCAACGGCGATCAAAGATTAATCGTCTAATCTTTCATTTTAAACTTGAATGCGCCATACGCTTGTTAAAATACTTGTTAATGTACTTGCTCGAGATGCTCGAGACGGTATTAATATACGAAGGCCTCTCGAAACTTTCAACTATCTAAATGTTTCAATGGGATATATGTGTTACCGGCGATATACCATTAAGAGGATTTACTTGCGGATGAAATCCTGTATAACGCAATCGCCTCTAGCTAACAGGTAGGCTATAATTATATGAGAGAAAGAGAGAGATACATTTCTTAACAGATTGCTATAATCTAGAACTATATATCTAGAGAAGATCGATATCAGAACGTATATTAAAAGCGTTTGTACTTGGAGGTAAGGCTCACCACTTCTCATAAAACGTAATCAATTCGCCTCGCAATAGGTGCATCATCACAAACAACAAATATATATGCAACTTCTCGGAATTTATCATCTCTTCTTCGAAATCATTTCCCTGTATTTATTGGATTTTAAAATTAAACAATTATAATAATTTATTTTATAATAATTAAAATTTACAGTAGAATGCAGTGGCAGTGTAATATATTTATATATATCATGCGATACTAAAACTATTTTGGAAATTTAGGAAATTTACTTTGAATATTAATAATTGAAAAAGCATAAATTTTTCACATTTTATAAAATTAGGGAATTGGCCTCAATTTTTGATATCACATCTTTTGTACCAATTAAAAACTGATTTATGTATACTGATTGTGTATTCAGCTTCGCGGAATTATCATCTCTTCTTCGAAACCACTTTCCTGTATTTACATTTACTGGATTTTAAAATCGAACAATTAAAATAATTTATTGTATATTAATGTATTTATAATGAGAATTAAAATGAGAAGAAAACAAAGTTAACATAGGCGCGAAAATAATAAATAAATCTTCTCGTGAGAAACAGTCACCTGTACCGTAACTCGTGGATTATATGAATGATAATTATCAGGCACGTTGTCGCACTTAAAGGGAAATCGGCGTTACTTAATGGCGCGACGAGACGAGACGAGAATACTTTATTCTATTTTACTTCTCGACATTACAAAGCGGCAGTATATCGTCCGGACGCAATATAATTGCATGACTGCATATCAGTAGTCGACATAATGAAACATCAAGCGGATTCTCAAGATACTCATTCCCTCGCGGCGATCGTTAATTACTACATAGCTATCAGTGAAATGGTGACACAGTGGCAGCATATTAAAGGCTAAAGGAGGTTAATAACTTCCCGGTTCTTGTGGCAGAAATATTTAGAATGGAAGAAAGAGGAGTTCTTCTTCGTTTCTCGAATAGCGATTGATCAACGCTTGATGAGAGAGTTTCTGCTGATTTTTTATGCGTAACGGTAACAGTTATTTTAGTAAGATAATAAATAGTATTTCAAATAAAGAAATTGTTAAAAATAAATATAGTCTAATAAACGAAAGAATAAATCTTATAAAAATATCTACAATATAGTTAAAAAGTCTTCTTTATTATAGTTAAACTTATATACATTATAATATAATAATTATATATTTTATTGTTAAATATATTAAGTATAAAGATCAAATCAATGTACTTATGTAAATTTTATAGAATTTGTGTTAAAAAGAAACATTTAAAAAGAATTTTATCAGAGAAATCATTAGATTTTCTATAATTCTTTGATCTTACTATTTAAGAATTTGATAGGAAATATTTAAACAATAAACATATAAAGAGATTTATTACACTTTAAAATCTTCTTTGAATCTTTTATTTCAAGTTTACCGCAAGAATTTTATTTCTAGAAGAAGTGTTCGAGACATATTCACACAGAAGAATCTTCAAACTTTCTTTGCATTCTGTCTATAATTTTTACATCAAAGATTTGTATTTATTATTTCAAAGAGATCTTTCTGATTCTAAAATCGATGTCGCTTCTCTTTTGCAATTTAAACTAGTTGATATTGCTACGTCGTGAATTTTTTTAATAGGGAATTAATCGCAAACTACGATATCGCAAAATTTAAATCTTCCACAATTCAAAGCTTCGCCTGCCCCTAAGTAATTACAAAACAAGGGAAAAGTAAAGAAAAACTTTTAATCAGGCACGGGTTCCACTTAAAGCAATTCTTCGTGAAACTCAACGGTGATTTATTTTAAAAAGAAGAAAAACTGGAATATTCCCAATTATAAGAAACGAACAAATAAGGTAATTAAATAACACAATATAAGTTAAAAGATTAACTTGGAATAATTAAAAGAAATTAATATAACTTTTTTGTTTGCTACGTAATTGCAATAAAATATAAATAATATATTTCGAAGATAAAATTATATTTTGCGCAATAAAAATTATTTATTAATAATTAAAAAAAAGCGTTTTTAATTTTGGCACACACACATTGAAGTATTTTGCACTGAAGTATGATGTCAAAATTAAGAAATAAATAATATAAATATAAATAATTTATGAACATCGCTCGTAGATTATATTAAGCAGAAAGACTCTGTATCATTGTACAATTTTTGCAATAGTTAAGGAGAAATTAAAAACTAAAATTAAATCATAGTAAACATCATACACATAGGATAATATATTTACATATAGGATAATATATTTTACATATTATTTGTGTTCCTTCTCAATTTTTATTTCCTGTATATAATTAAGATTCACGAAGTTTTAACAGCAATTAAGAAGTTTATTCTATAAACTATTTTAAGCAAAGAATGTTATATAAAAATATAGACTCTATTTTTAATATTTAAATTACTAATATCTGTAATATTTAAAAATAATCAACAACTGTTTGCACTCAACGTAATTAGAAACAGTTTTTGAGAAAAAGTTTAAAGAAAATTTATAAAAAATGCAAAGACAGATGATTGAAAAATAATTTATTAATTGAAGCAAATTTAAAATAGCTTTCAAAACTTCTTTCATCTACTGCGATGTATTTTACTATTCAAATACGAACGCACATAACATTTCTCTGTTGTATGCGGTTGTCCCTGCAGGGTGATTGCAGGGACGTGCAAAATATGCATTTTCTGAATATAATATTTCAATAATATGATAACATAATCTAGATTGAATTTTTTGAATAATTGTATAATAGTAAAAATAGGAAAATATGATTTTAAAGAATATTACACTTGTGCAATGTATAAAGAAAAAGTGTATAATGAAAGTGTAACGAAGCAAGTCTAATGAACGTCTAACATCTTCCTAATAAATTTTCGTGGAGGAACTTTCTGACTTCCTATCATGGAATCTTTAACATCGTATTATATCCTACGTAAATACTTGCATTTACATACAGAGCTTTAAAAGGGGATCAAATTCTTTACATAGAAGTTAGTGAATAAAAGATACTGTTACCGTAAGCAGTTTACGTCAATATTACCGTAAAACTAACTTCTTTAAAATAAAATATATAATGTGATATGTGAAGAGATTTATATAAGTTATTTATAAGTTACTGCCATATTAGCAATTCTATTTAAATAATATTTTAATAATATTTAATAGAAGAATATATGTATCTTATATATGCATCTTATTATATTTTATTATAATTATATCAAATAAATTTTAATAGAAAATTATTTTTAATAGAAAATGTATATTATTATTTTTATTATACAATTTATATATCTCTTTAATTT